ACAGCTTTGTGGAATAAAATCATGTTCTTACTTACCGATGAACATTTGAATCTCTTCAGTTATTATCTGGCCGTCTCAGGAATAACAGAATGTGTTTTTGGGAGACACTGAATCACACTATTCTGCGCCTGTACGCTGTGCAAACCCGGTTCAAGTGTTGTCGCTTTTACGACGGTTATTTCTCGATGAATAAATTTGTGAGCGTGATAGTATGTTTGAAAAAGACGGACAGAAAAAAGAGGCTAACCCGACAGGAAAATATGGGGGAGTTGGATATGCAAGGGCAGATAGCGCGAACCAAAGGGAACTGACGTGCTTTGAGGACAGACATAGGTGTGGGCGCAATGGTTCTAAGTCTAAAGGCGTTGTCATTTGTGCCTTTTCGCACGAGAACGGAAAGGAAAGCTATGAGTTGGCTGGTCGGGGAAAGACGCTACGGAGCGAGGGCGGGGGCGTGGGCGTGGGTGGGGAACGGACGGGCCGCGTACAGTCGCGTGCGCGGGTGGAGTGCTGGGGGGGGGGCGCGGGTCCGTAAGGGCTGGTGCTTTCCCGCGCCTGCTTCCACGTCTCGTCTGCGCGCACTTTAGGGGGAAATCTGCTGTGCCCTTTGGCTACATGGTCGTGAAAACGGCAGTCTCTTCTCTCAGCAATTTGTATGGTTTTAACCGGTTTGCTCACCGGTTTTTCCTGAGCTTTAGGGGATAAATTTGTTGTGTATTTCTATGTCATCGGACCCAGACAAAATTAATGGAAGGTGGTAAACAAATTGATATTAATATTGCAGGCCTGCCACGCATAATGCAAAATTAATCAGTATGATTCCGAAGCAAGTGATGGAATATTTGAATGATAGAAATCATCTAATTCACCAAATATTGAAAAACATTCGTACGTTGCTCCTTACTATTATTAAAACCGTTTTTTTGTATGCTAAAACTTTTTGAAGTTAGGTTACTTTGCATTAGTATTTCCCAACAAAGTGGACAAAGCATTATAATTCCCATTTATCTTGAGAAATCAAATATAAAATAATGTGTCACGTAATTGAAGATTACTAATATGAATTTGGTAATTCTTATGCTAGTTACAGTTGTCATCATTTTAGGGCGGTTTGGCTGTTTTTGTTTTTTTGTGAGTTACTTACCTCTTGTATCACTCAGGTAATTTTGTTCTTTCTTGGTTTGTAGCAAAAAAAATTTATTTCACCATGGCCGGTTTTGGTGGAAGAATTTGTGTTTTACAAATCAAATTACACGCCGCTTACATTGTGAGTTCGAAATTCATTAATTTTTAAAAAAGAGTTTATCACCCAGTTACAATTAAGTTTGTTCTTGTTGATGAATATCACCTATCAATTGTTTGTTAAGGATAAATCAGATATTTTAGAATTGACTTTTTTTATAAAAGAAATTTAGGTTTTTGTGTCCTAATATTCTCGACAAAAATTTTAGTGTGAAATAAATCAGATCTTTAAAATAACGTTTGCAGTGCGCTGTATGAACGGAATGGCATGGTGGATTCTGTACTCTAATTATTCACTCCCATGTTCCTTTGCGGCGCGTGTCGAGTGGTTGCTTGCCATCGTAACCATTGCCGTCCGTTTCATCCTCCCCCCCACCTGTATATGAGCGGCCGCTCGTTCGCGCCGCCGCCAGCGCCTGTCTAATTCAGCTCTGCCCGGACAAAGACAGGGCCGTCCGCGCGCCGCTCTGCTGTTTTGTTATGCAGAAGCGCGTGGCGCGCGGGGCCCCCCGCTCTGTCACCTGTCTCCCGCCCCCAAAACTCCACCCCCGCCCCAACCTCCACCCCCGCCCCCCGCCAACGCGCTCCGCCAACGCGCTCCGCCGCCTCCGCGCCCGCCGCCCTTGGAATGCTAATGGCTGTGTGTGGCAAGAATGAGAAGTGCGTATGAGAGACGCACGCCCGTTGGACTTTTCGCCTACGATACTCGTGGGTGTATTTGGCGAACAGGATTGTCATCAGCCAGGATTAGCCAATACGCGGGGGTACTGGTTTGCTTATTTGTATGTTTCAGGTGTATTTTTTAATTAGTCACTTTAAGGTCATTTATATTTTCTTATTGCAGACATTCGATTACGACTTTCATTCTATTCTGGAACGTTCAGTTATATCTTGACTTACGTGACATACACCTGGCTGGTGTAATAAATAAATTATCGTGAAGGAACGATATTCATATTTTACCATTATTAGTATATTCACTTTAACTTGTCGATCGGAAAATATGTATTGGAGAGACGAATGGATTTACATTTTCAGGGTCTTACATATTGTGTTGGGGTATTTTACGGAGGCGTGTGGGGGCGAGGAGGGATGGGGCAGGAGGGTGGACACGACGTTGGAAGAGCGCGGGACTGGAGGGGTCGGCAAAGCGGAGGGAGCGGTGCAGCAGGTAGGACTGTCGGTACGGGATGGTCTGACCAATAGTTGGTTGGGATGAATAAATATCCGATAAAACGTCTAGTAATCAGCTACTAATATGCAGATGGATGTGTGTGTATGTTTTGTCTAAATACGCCTTACTGTTGGAGCGATTTCTTCCGCTAAGTGTACGAATGCGTAGACGGCCTGGAGAAGATGTTGGGGAGCGGGGCTGCGATCCGAAAATGTTCAAAACGGTTGTTAGGAGAAAATACGCAACCCGCTGTGCATTCAGCGGTGACCTTGCTCCAGGGCGAACAGTAACCCGGAAAGGGCTGGCGCAAGGGGAAGGGGGTGGAGGACGGGCAGGGCGCGCTGAGCGAAGGGGTGGAGCGGACAGAACGGACTGTGTGACAGACATGTGGTAAACGGGCAACGTTAGGTAATGAGCTAGTAGGGCATGAAAATTATTGTAATCACATCATTATTTTATCATTTGTTTTTGTTTGCTGTGTAGGGACATGTTACATCTGTAAATGTGAGTGACTTTATAAACACCGTATAGTGCGCACTAAGGAATACGATTTACCTTATTTTTCATTCTGGTAATGGACGTGGTTTGTACAGCATCATTCGCTTCAGAAAACGTTTCGTCATATTGGCGGAATACCCAATACCTTGTACGGAAGTATGATTTAACATGACAACAATGATCAGCATAAACCCGGTTGCCTTGTGGGGTAATTCCTTCACCTTGTATAAAAATACGATGGTCGATGAAGATGAAGTCGAAGCCCGTAGCGGCCGCACCTGGTGTGAGACTACAGCCAGCGAAAGATACTGTAATTTGAAACGACATCTTGAATTTTGGAGGTGCGCAACGTCCAGCTTGTGTTCAGGGCTGAGGCGGCAGTGGCATTGAAGTTCCAATGACGTCACATCCGCGAGCGGCCTGGCTGGGTGACGGCAGCCGTTCTATTTTCACGCATCTTGAGTGGGCAGCTGCCTTCCGCAGTTGATGCATTTGTGGCTCAGAACCAAAAGTAGCCCTGGGCCCGAAGACATAGTGTTGATGATGTGATGCAACTGCACTCAATTATTGTGCTATTACGCACTTTTAGATTGTGGTGAACGTATCCGGATAGAATTTTCCTTCGAATATACGTTTTCATTTACCCAAAACAGAAAAAGGAGGTTAGGGAATAGAAATTAGAGAAAATTCTTTTAAATACGTTACCTTTCAGAACAATTAGATAATTAATTAATCTTCTTTTTATTGTTAATTTGTCGAATATTTTTAGGTTAAAATGAAGCTGTTAACACCAAAGTTACAGACAAAACACATCATAGAACATGCAGGATGCCATGGTGGTTCACAGTACATTTTACGGTTATAATTCCAGTTAATGTGTTGCGTACCTTTCAATATCCATATTTTAGCTGCCTTCATCTCTCTGACCAACCCACTTGTTGATTGTTCTATTGAGGGTAACGCGTTTGCAACGTTGTGTTTACCTGGAAACCCAACAAAAATGTATGTAATCAAATAATTTGTGAATATGGCCCCCTCGCTGGCCCGTCGGTGAGTTGATTTTCATGCAGGGCAATTCCGAATGTACAGCATTACAATACACTATCCATCGGTCTGAAGCAATATAAAAACAACGCAAGAAGATGAAAGTGAATCCCTTAGCTTCATTCCACTTGTCGAGAGAACGGTCCATCGCATGATTTCAGAAGCTGAATGCTTCATTGAGTGCCGATCGGCAGCCGAAGAAACGCTTTCGCGTTCTCCAGCCGCAAACTCCACGCTTTTCTCGCGCGCTGCGTCCTCGTCATTTGCAGTCACGGAGTGCTCGAACTTTCGATACGGCCGCTCCACCATTTAACTTACTGGCGAAGAAGAAGAAGATGACACGAGTATTTTAGGGCACATTTTTATCGACAAAACTGTAAATAATGCTAGAGCGAAATAGAAACTAGTGGGGCTTACTTTCAACCCATTCTTCCTCGCATTATTGGCGATTTTTGCGTAATATGTTACTATTTGAATGTTCTGCCGTATCAACATTTCGGCGATGAATTGAAAAAGTCTGAACCAATTGGAACGAAGAGCCTGCGGTGCATCATTGCAATTATTTCGATAGCCAGGAACAAGAGTATATCTTACAGGAGTATATCTTACAAGAGTGTATCTTATATCAGGTACAAGAGTAATATCTTACTTCTACAAAACAAACTAACGCGAATAAATCTCAATAGTATCTGCAGTACATTTTACAGACAAGCAAGGATAATTCAACATAAGCTTGCCTTCATTACCTCAAAGTGAGCTTCCAATTTTTGAATAATTGTACCATAATCAGCGATAAGATCTTCTAATGAAAAATCAGTGTATAAATTGAACATCTAAAGCTGAATGCCGCCCAATATATCCCCTTTTTTAGAGCTGACTAGCAAAATACCCAGCGTTGCCAGGGATTTGTTCGTATGCCTTCCTTGTGAAAGAGGAAAAATATCAATATTACATAAGCCACTATGTTTAAGATAATTATTTTTAATGTAATTGGTTCAAATTTTTATAAAATATTTTAATTTTCTTTCATTTTATTTTACAGTACGTTGCTGTTTGCAGTGGTGTAGCCTGATTTTTGGTTTAGGGTATGTAAGAGAAATGAAAAAAATAATTTAAAACCTCTAAATATTCGTTATTTACCAGTGTACGAGATCTTACTATGAGTCTTCAGAGCTTTGTAAATATTATTTAACTACTGAAATTTAAAATTTTTATCGTTTGAGAATAGAAAATCACCAAAATAGTTTTTTAGACCCTTACCACCGCACATCCATGATTCTTGCACATACATTTTGTTATTAAAATGCGGATATTAAATTGCAAAAACATTTTTTTTATGTTCTTGATGATACTGAGAGTTGATTTTTTGGGCCTTCTCTTATTATATTCTCCTCTTCAGAGAATCTGAGTCTGTATACTTCTTGTTTTCAATTTGTCCACGGCACAGCAATATGATTCCATAATTATGTACTGCCCTTGGATCGCGTTGTGCTCGCCATTTCACGTCACAGATGTGTATTGCTCGGGCACATACCGTTCTCCATTGAACCAGCACAATCCCTAACCTAAATTAGGAATAAATATATAGTACTACATATATTAAAATAAAGTAATAAACTTAAATAAACTATCCTATTCATCAATTGATATTGTTCTCTTACAAACACCGAAGAAAACAATGAAGTTTCGCAACACGATAGCTATTTCACAAGTACAGGGGATGTGAAGATTCGCTGAACATCTGATTCACAGCACAGGCGAGGCGGCATTTCAGAGTGAGTCGTTGATCCACGCGAAGAATCGAATCTTCAACGACTGGATGTTTGAAATATGAATGGGACAAAGCGTAATACAAAAATAAAATAACAAATGGACAGTTAACAATTAATTTAAAATCAACATTGGCTGATATTGTCAGGGCATGTAACACATCACTCACATGGACCCTACGTCCCTGGCTGTTAGATCAAGAATGTTCATCTCATGCACTGCTACTGGTCTCGAGCGAATATATTAAGTACCAGTTCTGCTTCACCACTAGTTTTTTGGCGGAATATAGTTTTAGCAATCAATATTCTCTTACCGCAAGGCGAAAAATAATGTCGTGGTGTACATACCAATGTATTATTTAAATAATTTATTTTTCGCATTTGTGTTCTATTAATCTTACCAGACTTTGCCAAAGCTCTGCGACAATCCTGAAGAGGAGCCTGTAAACATTTCATATCTATTCGTACATTCCTTTTTGCGGTATCGTTGTCGGTGACGTGTCGAATTAACTTTTATTATTATAGGTTTCTTTATTATGGTATTGAAATATTATTTTTTCCCAATTTTCGAACACAGAGAGTTTGTCGAAAATGCCTGTATCGTTTTCTTTGCTACATGCGAGGGAGAAAAAATAAAGCAAACATATGCAGCAGTTTTTGATAAAAGTGTTTAAATATTATCTATATTTCACGCAAAATACTAATTTTTCGAAAAATTGTACGTGTCATTATTTCAATATTTGATTTTGTGAACACATTTTACAATGAAAAAACGGACACAGACTGAATAGCTGACAGTCTGACTCGCCGACAGTCTGACTCGCCGACAGTCTGACTCGCCGACACTGAAAGTTGGAAAGGGAAACTCTCTGTGCTAGAGGCTATGAACTCTGGAGTTGGCCGATTGGGAAAATTATTTTTCATTCCAGGATCGGAACTTGTCCCTCTCCAATTTCAAGTTGGTCAAGAGCCAGTGCCATGGCGAAATCCGAACCCATCTGGGCACAATCCGTACGATAGTCGAGGGTATCTCCGAGAGACCGGGTGGACATTACCAATCCTTATCTATGTTGTACCGAGGTCCAGTCCCCCTCCCCTCTGCGGGGACGTAAAAAGAATTTGACTTCCTGCGATCTACCTCTGACATTGCACATTTATCCACGAGCCCGTTTACGTTTATTTATGTTCGTATTATTCTTACGTAATATTTATTCTGTAAAATGTAGTTTATTTAAATTTTATTTTGTTTAAATGTTAATTATTATTATTCTTATTTAAGAGTTGCAGACCCTCGGGGTTTAGCTACTTCACTGGCCTGCTTTCGTTCCCTGTGCTTCCGCCTGCTTCGTTTTTTGGACGAATAGCTTCTTCCCAATTCTACAACGACCTTCCCTTCATTCCGTAGCCCATGAATTATGTACGATCCCCGCGCGCGCGTTCATAATTGAATTACCAGCGGCTTCCGGGCGGCGGCGACGGCTGCGCCCCTGGCGAGCGGGACGGACACTCGCGGAGAAAAGTGGCAGTGACACCTTCGCGAGGGAAGCGGAGAGACTGAGAGCATTGGATGGTGACGTAGATTGTCCACCTCTTCAAAGTCTTGTTCGGCATGCGTTCCGTGTTTAATTATATGCGTGCTTAACGAAAATAAGTTTATGATAAATGAACAACTAATTGGAGACGGAATCTTGTGACACTCTTGCTGTGTTGCAGTCGTTGCATATTTCCTTTCAGCACTCACTTCCGTAGAAAATTAAAAAAAAATAATTAAGTATCATATTGATGATACTACACACATAGAAATTTCAAATTACTATTCGAATCTACTTGTTTTTCAAGATACTTTATACAAATCTGATCCTGTCACAAATGTACTCCAACTTTGCCCTTGAAAAATAAGGTGGAATATTTGGAGTGTGGTATAAATTGGAATATTAAAAAAACAACTAACATCATACATTGATCATATTAATGTCTATACAATAGACGTTATATTAGTAGATTTATTTTTATTAGTTCCGTTGGAATTATGGCCCTTGACCAGAATGCCGCTCTGTGGCGAGCATTGTCAATTATAGTGCACGAAAACACTGCTGTTGTGGGAAATGCGTGATAGAAAGGACGCCGCCAATGGGAATGTATGTGCTCCTATCTGGGCCTGTCAAGGTCCTTAAACCTCTTCTGGTAATGTATAATGTGCAATTTCATTGTAATTAGGGAATAAAAACAAATTTAAATGTTTTAAAGAATGTTGAAGTTCTCTGCAATGTAAAAGCAATTGATGTAAAAACAATAATTTCCAGGAAATGCATGTTGGTAGTTACTGTATTCAAAGTGTAAATTGTTTGCAAGACGGTAGAATAATTGCAAAACTGATGTTTTCTCCCCTCAATTAATGATGACATTCTGGAATTTTTGTATTACAACCATTCATCAAATTTTACTCAGCAAGAAGATGAATTTCTGTGTTTCTTGAGACCTTACTTCCAAGGCTCTTAATATTTCACACAATGTATGTGCAAGGTCGCGGACGTTGAAAAGAAACCAAACTGTTAATGTTTCGAAGTTGCTGTACTTCTCAAACAACTCTGTACCGTGACTGCATTGGTGTTACGGAAATGACTAGGAACTAGGCGAATGACGGGGAGATACATCTTGGAAATATTTAGAGTCAGAGCACTGTTAAATTAGTATTAGTTTTAAGTTTCTCGACCCCTTGTCAGCCCTTTCAGACTCCCTTCTAGCGTCTCCCGTCATCGCGGTGTCCAAACTACTTTCCTAAACAATTTGTGTTCTCTCTTATGAGGTGGTGATGATCAAATGAATATTGGGGGGTGAGATCCGGATGCACGGGACTGTGAAAGGCCTCCACGCCACGAACATCTGGATGTAACGTTCATGCCTTAGGCGGGATTCGAACCCACAGCTTTAAGCTACTTGGACTCATTCCCTAAGTATGCCATGATCCGGTTCGACTTAGGACTTGTAATCACTTTTACCGAATGGAAGAATAAATATTATTCTTTTTTTATTATAATATTGTATTTTTATTCTATTATAATGTGTGATCCAATTTAATTTCCTCGGACCGTGCAGTCGCTTTCTCAGATGTACGCTGAAAATGTGTTATTTTATCTCGCCCAACCAGGGAGGGGGGACTCATGGGGCTTCAGACCCCCTGCCCCCAAGCCGATACCGCATGTTCACTAATTTTCTATATTAATGGAAGCAATTCAAATATATACATTGAATACTTTATAAATATAAATTATCAACTATAAATTTGTGTTAAATATGAAAAATTCTTTAAGAGAAAATATCAACTGATGGTGGACAGTACTCCTATTAACCCTTCCAAAGAAAAATATCTGAATGAACCACTTATTTGAATATCGTAATCTTGAGTCACTTTTGAGATAAATGTTTGAAGACAAATCCTAAGAATAGGTTTAAATGCGACCATAGTGATTTCACCGGCGTAGTTGGAGATTATTGTATTATGAGCATCATTACAAATCTCCCAACAAGGGGATCATTATAGTAACTGATCGGGATTAGATCTGACAATTATAATAGTATTCCATTTTGATTTTGCTATACTAGTTAAACCATTCCTTGAAGAGGGAGATACAGGTATATTCTGATGAGCAAACTAAGTAAAAGCATGTTCTCAAATACCTCGAACACATTACTGCATATTCGCTTCTCATAACATCTCCATTTAGATTCTTCAAGTTTACCTTTCTGACAAATTATATTTAATGAGATACACTTTTTTCATGAATAATCATTGTTGCGCATTTTTTTTCAATGTTAATGTTGATCAATGGTTCTCAAATGGAGCTAGGAAAAGTACTTCGAAAATTTCATTCCATAAATCAACCAACACGTACTTATCACTATTATCTTGTACTGCCTCCAGGGTCATCCTTGTTAATTCCCAGCACGAATACTTTGTATTGCAGCAGACTGCAATCTTCCAAAAATTAGTACGAAAGATTGAACCGAAACGACTTTCCGGCGCAAGACGATGGCACTGCGGAAGAAGCATTCAATTACTCCATACACTGAAATTGTGTTGGTGACCATGATGGACAGAACTGATGGAGGGGTACGAGGCTGAATTGCAGGAGACGACGGCGATTGGAAACTGGGCCGAGTGAGCGGGGTGGAATCCGGCTGGGACGAATCGGGCAGCTCCGGGTCAGGTCGAGTCAGGTCGAATCGGGTCGAGTCGGGTTGGGTCGGTCGGGTCGAGTCGGGTCGGGTCGAGTCGAGTCGGGTCGAGTCTGGTCGAGTCGGGTCGAGTCTGGTCG